CTGTAGCTCACTTTTCTTTTCCACCTTAGTCTTAGTGGAAAAAAAAAACTGTTACAAAGTGTTCTGGAAAAACAGTGCAGATGCATTGTGAGCAAGATGTCCGTGAAGATGTTTACTTTGTTAGGCAAGTGGATTTCCTAAATCTTGACTGCTTTTTCTAACCACTTGTGGGCCTTTAAGATCTTTGGAGCCTGAAGACTACTGGATTACATGATACAGATCCCTCTGAACCTGAGCCTCAAGCCTTGTACTAAACTTCACAATGACTTCATTTTTCCTGTATAAATGAAATATCTCAAGGTCAATGTATTTGCCTTTCACTCATTTGAATCTCAGTCTGGTTCTAATGCTATGTGAGGCTCACAGATGATTCTTAATCTGAGCTGGTAATGCCACTAGAATTCTAGGATTGAGGAAGAGAGACATTTGATCTATATTGACATGTTGCTACCCACCTATTTCTTTTGATTTCTTAACTGAACTTCCCTTGGCCTATCCTCTACTAGGCAGGAATCCAAAGTAAGTAATTTGATACAGTTTCTGCTATCAAAGAAATTCCAATTTAATGGCAGTCAGAGGGTTGTGTGATGTTCCAAATTTTATGCTCTTCTCCATGTATGCAGGACCTGTGTCACATGGTATCATGGGCATATTTTGCCCTCATTTTTCATCCTATGTACTAGAGACTGCTAAAAGGTGCTCTCATGTTTTAAGTCTCTGGTGGTTCACTCCTAGATTTGTGTTTATTTTCATCATCTTGCAACTCTACAGTCTGTCTGAAGAGCAAATTACTCCCTTAAGTTTGTTTTTATGCACACCTACAGAAAAATTCTCTCTAGTAACTTGTTAGTAACAACTGCTGAAATTTTAGTAGGGTCTATGTATGTGTATGTACACTCATAGTTGATATTTATGCCGTCATCAAGCTAGCTCATTAACTTTTTCTTTTCTTTCTTGAATATCATGCTACAGGCACAACAGTAGGCCTGGCTATATTAGAAGTTCCTGGAGTAAAGCAGGCCTAGCTTTTTCATGTGTGTAATCCACAGGCAATTTCAAATCATAAACATAATACTGGAGACAAGCATTTGTGCACAGTGAACCATTAAGAGTGCCTCAGGAAACATACATATTCTTCATTTTGCCCTCTCCCTAGGAGAGAAGTGAGATGGCAAGTTAAGCCACAAAATTCCAGAAAATAAAACACACCATTTAAAACCCACCCTTGCCAGACAGGATTGATTACAGCTCTATTAGAGATGATCTCTCTAAAAGGAAACTATGGGGATAGAAATTATGACCTGTGCATTTGACCTTTGTCTTTTTAATCTTAGACATACATTCCACTCCTTGCTTTGTAAGGATCTATTTCTCACTGTCACCCTAGATGAGACAAACACTTTTCCTTTGGCCACTGGTTACCAGGAAACCTTTTAAGAGGTATAAAAAAGAGCATTAGTAGCAAATAGGGGGGGGAAAAGAGTACTAACCGTGATTATAACTGTTACCTGCAATTGGGTGTGTCATCAAGAAAACATGTAGCAATATCAGTGTGGGAACATTTATTAACAGTTTCAGAAAGCATGCATGAGTATATGCATGACAGTGTGGGTTGATATCATTATGTGGCAATTAATTTGAATGGATGTGGGTGAATGTTATTATCTTAGTAAAACAGTGTAGGTTAATGTCAATATGAATATGCATCAGTGTTAACATGGCCAGGTGAGGGTCCGAGTAAGGGTACATGGTAGTTTGCAAGAGTGTGTGACTGCATGGCATGTAGGTCAATGTAAGTAAATGTATCAGTGCAAGTGAGAATGTAGTGGGGTGAGTGTGTGAGTGTTGCATACCAGTACTTGCCTGTTATATGTAGATGAATAAGTGCTTATGTGTGAGCACATGTATATCTATGTCAACTGTCTGTTATAATGTGAACTGTGTATATCAGTTTGATGTGTGACAGTGTAAGAGCAGGCCAATCACTGTGCATGTTACCATATGTGCACTAGTGTGAATGTGTGTAGCAATGTGGATGAACGTGTGTCAATATGAGAGTAAGAGAGCACGAACAATGTGTAAAACTGCAGGTGATAGTGGCACACATCTGTAATCCTAGCACTTGATAGGCTTAGGCAGGTGTATCATCACAAGTTTGAGGCCAGCCTGAGTTGCACAGGGAGTTCAAGGCCAGCCCTAAATGACAGAGACACTATCTCAAAAGACAAATCAAACAAAAAAAGGAATGTGGGTGTGTAGTATGACTAGGCTACTGTAAAAATGTGTAATTATATGAATTGGAGTTGGCATGTAACAGTGCACATGTGAATGAACTTGAGGGTGAAGGGATGTGGTTGTGTGTATATGGGAATGAGCAAGAAGGTATAGTTTTGAGTTTATGGTAGCAAATGTGAGAGTGAATATCTGAAAATGTGGCAGTGTAAGCATATGAACACAGCTGTGCAGTCAATGTGGCTTTTGTTAATATAATTTCATACAAATAATTAATTTAAATCAGTATATGTATGTATTGGTGTACATCAGAGTATTGTGATTGTGTATGAATTTGAGAGGGAGTGATAGTTGTCGGTAAAATGGCTTTGTGTGTAGCTGTATTTCAGTGAGTGTGCCTGAGAGTTTGGTGCAAAGCACAATTATATATCAGTGTGAATGTATAAAATGTGTTTTCATGCGCAAGTGTGACTGTGTAAATGTATGACAAGAGAAGGGAGACGGTCTCAATGCAATTTATATGAGTGCAACAGTATGTAATTTTTAGTAAAAGAGTACAAGTGATATGGTATTTATGGTATGGGCACATAGAAACATGAATATATGAGTGCATGTGCACACACGTGTGTCCGTGGGATGAGTTGCCTGTGTGATAACAGGAAAGTGATAACATCAATGCAAGCACGTTGAAGTACCTGAAACTGAGTAAGCATACGGTTATATGGGAAACAATCTGAAGTGTGGGCAAGGGGGAACTCAGTGTATTTCAATGTGTAGTGTGGGTGATTGTATAGACATTTTAGTGGGTAAGGCCGACTTTGTCAACGGGGTGAATATAAGTGTGAAAGAGTGTGCCTATGAGTGAGAGAGAATATAAGAAATGTTTTAAAGGTAGGAGTGGACAAGAGTATAAGGGTAGGAATTTTGATAAGTGTGAGAGTGTGGCACTATGAAAATATATACAATTTTTACTGTATATACAGTAAATACAATTGTATGTGCAAGTGACTGTGGGTTAAATGTGACTTTATTAGAGAATATGAATGTCCTTGTGAAAGAAACAAAATGTATGCCTATGTGGACCTGTGTGTGTGTGTGTGTGTGTGTGTGTGTGTGTGTGTGTGTGTGTGGGCACACATGTACAAGCACTAAATGGTACCAAAATAACTCGGGAGGCTGAGAAAGTCCTGGATGTGTCTTTGCTCCCACACCCACAGGGTATCTCCAGTTACGTGCAAATTATGTAGCCCTTCTTAATCTTTATCTCACCAGTGGTAGCAATTCCTAACTTGAGGTGATATCATTTGTACAGTCAGAAGCAAAAGTGCCATCAGAGAGAATACTTACCTCGGAGGGTTACTATAGGCTCAAATAATATCATGCAACTAAAGTATGTGCAGAGCTGGCAACAGTAGACACTCAGTAAATAAAAGTTATTATCATATCTGTCACAGAATACCCAAGAGAGATCCCAGGGCTTGCTTCTTATTTTAGTCAGTTCTGGTTACCTTTTGTCAGTCAGGGTCTATAGAGGATCTCCTACCAGAACGTCTCTCTAGAAAGTTGAATGCATCAGTATCGACAAGGTTGTAATTTCATACCTTCAATTCCAAGGCTGAAACTCTGGAGCTTCCCTTTCATGAGAACGCATCACAGAAACACCTGCTGCTGAGCTCTAGCTTTCCCTTGTGCTACATAGGCCCAAGGCCAAGGTAAACTATACTTTCTGTGAAAGGGAATTATATATTCCTTGTTTGTTTTTCTTGGTAAGTGTTTTTTGTTGGTCATTTTTTGACTTGACCAACAGGAGAGATGTCTAAGTAGCTGACAAAGAGACAGAGGAGTAGACAGAGAGATGAAGGGCTAGCAAGTTACAGGTAGCTGGACTGCAGGAAAGACACGAAGCTACAGTAATTGCCTGGGAGGCAGACACAGAACCAGGTGAATGACCAAAGGGTCAGGGTGAGAAAAATGAAAGCGCAGAGGAAGAGAGAAGCTCAGTTTTCAAACTGTTCATGAATTTTCAGATACTTGGAAGGAAGATTAGATACCTATAATTATGTATTCCCTGCCATTGAAGAACTTAACAGTCTAGTTTATCTTTCCAGGTAAGTATTGCAGAAACCATGCAAGAATGATTTGAGGCAGGAGAGAAGCATGCGGCTGCACTGCATGCTACTGACTCAGATGCTGGAAGGCTGGGGGAGGAAGTGCACTCATGCCACCTGGCTGGGTGGAAGGCAGAGGGAAGCTTCAGGATGGTTTAAACTAAGCCTGCCAGGCCCAAAAGCAGAGGTGGGTGGATGGGGTGGGAGTAGAGCTTGAATAAGAAGATTAAAATTAAGGTTATGGGGCAATAGAAATCAGAGGATCTGATTGCTGGATTTGTGGCATGTGGCTGAAATGTCTTGCAGGTATCAGGAAAGGAGGAGAAAAGGAAATGACAGCTTAATGAGAAGCATTTTCTGTGCTACACTGAAGCTCTTAGATGATGCTTGACATTTGCGAAGGACTTGGTAATAACTGTTACGCTGTTTCTCCTTTTCACCCCAAAATGTAGGTCAAGGATGTCATTCTCATATTAAATATAAGGGGATCAAGAGACCTAGGGAAGCTGTATGAGACTAAATTTCCCAGAAAGAAGTCATGCTCTGAGGCCTAGTTGGTGAGGCCTATGTAAGATCTTTATTACTGGGAGCTCTGGTGGAGTTCAGCACTTTTCTGGATTTCAAGAACCCTGACTCCCTGCCCTAGGAGCCATTACTCACCTCACAAGGCCACCACTGCAGGACCTCAGCACTGGTGAGTACTGCCCATTGGGAAAGAGTTGAGCTGACTTCAGCCCTGATGACTTAGTGCTGGGCAGCTGCCACAAGATGCAAGGACTCAGCTGCTCCTTCTTGGGGTAAACCTGCTGAGAGAAGCATTGTAGGGGAGAAGGAACCTCTTTCTTTACATGCTACTACTACCCTATTCAACTTCCCAGACATGTCACATTCTCACATTCTCTCTCTCTCTCTCTCTCTCTCTCTCTCTCTCTCTCTCTCTCTCTCTTTCACACACACACACACACACACATACAGGCACACACATACACCACACACTCCCGTGATTTCAGAATTAGCATATCTAGTAAATCTGAGGCAAGAAGGATGAAAACACTGTCATATAGGATTCCAGAATGGACACTACTTGCTACAAAATTAAAAAAAAAAAGAATGTTTTGCCCTAGTTACTTGGGCATATATATTGGAAGGATTAAATTAGAGATATATAATTTGCACAAATAACTATGGATAAATTTGCATATTGCGAGAGGCAACAGTAGCATGCAATAGGAAACAGAGATTATGGCCAATTTTGGTTTGTTCTGAGAATATGTTAGAATTGCTTGACAAGCTAGAATTGCTGTTCAGTTCTACTCATCTTTCAACCCCAGATGTCCACCTCCGTCTCCATTTCTCTTCCCACCAATTTCTTTCATTTGACTGGGAGAAAGTCTGTTCTCTAGGCCATAGCTCTCTGAGGTCCCTGATCTTCTCACAGGTGCTTAAGGTCTCAACCTCTGATGTTATTTGAAACTTCCTTCTACATCCCTCCCGCCTCCACTCTACATCACAAGGACGCCTTCCATAGTCTTCCCTAGATTTCTTCACAGTCAGTATACACTGTTGGTTACTGTAACTTTGGTGATAATTTATACGAATCTCCCCAGAGAGGTTTCCACATCTAACCGTGCAGGAGAAAGGGTCTCTGTTTGTCTGTGTGGCTCTTCTGTGCATATTAAATATAAGGGGATCAAGAGACCCAGGGAAGGAGAAAGGGTCTCTGTTTGCCTGTGTGGCTCCTCTTCTGTGCATGTGCACATGTGTGCATGCATGTGTTATGTGTGCTGGGGATAGAATTAGAATTAGAATTCTTGCCTTGTGAATACCAGTCAAGTGTTCTGCCACTGAGCCACATCTCCAGCTGGAAACAAGATCTCCTCTTTAATGCTTCCATTTTTGGACTTCTTACCACAATCACCTGAGCTTCCCAGCAAAGTGTGATTTTTATTTTATAGTACCCCAAGTCCTGCAAACTCCATTCTGCTTTCCCCTCTATTGCCTTCAATACTATTTATCTTCAGAGAGAAGCTGCAACTATATGTTTATTCCCAACAGATTATGAGTCAGGCAACACAAACTTTATTAAAAGGCACCAGAATGGAAACAGTCCCAATTCAAAAAGATGGATAGATGGGTACGTCAAAGTGGAAGCAGTAAAACTGAAACCTTAGGGAGCAAAGCACAGCTCTATGATTTCCAATTCCCCTTCACAAATAAAAAAGATCAAACCGTACCCTTGGTTTGTCTATTGCTCTGGGCAGGACTTCAGAGCACGTCTGTCCCCCAACATCCCTGGCATTCCCTATGAGCTTCCCACATGCACACTCTGAGCAGCCTTTCCAAATCCCACCCACTGCACCACTGAATGATGTATCAACCCCTCCCTTGCTGCATGAGCTCATCTTGCAGGAGGATGAGGTGGAGAGTAGTATGGGCTGCAAAGCTCCAAAGAGGGGTAGGGCTCAAGGAGGGCACAGGAACAATCTCAAGAGATCCCTGACCATTCCTGGGGCTGACAGCTGGCTGGGGAGGCAATATCCACTCAGTGGGGAACAGTAATGGGGGGGGGTCACATGCACCAGCCTGCACTAACCCAAAACCTTCATGTTTTATGGCAAGACTGAAAGATTTCCTTGAGCCTATCTCCACTTGATCACAGTTGCTCCATTTGGAACATCATTTAGTAACTCTGTAAAGCTGGCCATGAATCCACCAGTTGTACAAACTAAGCCAGTGCAGAGCTAACTGGCAGGACATAACTCTCCACCAGGTAGTCATACTGCTCTTGCCTGCTTGAAAAAGTGTTTTGCTGTTCATGTGTGTGAGTTGCTGTCCTGTGTGTGAGCACATACACACCATAAGTCATATCATGTTGTATTTGTATGTGTGTATATGCTGTGTCATATCAATACCATGTTCTGTGTATACTGAGTCTGTATCATGTTGGATATGTGGAGTATTGTGTTTATATTATGCTACATATATATATATATATATATATCAAGTCACTATGCTCTTGTATGTGTACTATATCTGTATTGTTTTGCATGTATATTGCACCTCTACTGTGCTGTATGTGTCAAGTCTCTAGTATATTTAGTGCCACACATCTGTGCCTTGATGTGTATCTGTACTGTTTTGTGAGTATTGTGTGCCTCTATCATGTTTGGAGTCTATAGTGCTTTTCTGTGCACCTTTAGATCAGCCTCTTATTAGAGATTTGGGTACAGATCAACACATCTTGTACATGCCTTACTCTTCCCACCCTCCCCTCTTCCTGGGCTCTTTCGTTACAGTTAACCACATTCTGCTTCTTGCCAGAATTCTTGTGTGGGGACTAGAGTTGCCACTATGAAGGTGTGGCAGGGAGGCTGTGAACAACTACTGTGTCCCACAGCCCTCCCATGACAAAGGCCTTGTTCAGCACTAAGATTTCTGGGAAAGGAATTTTGGATCCTTTTCAGATCCAAAGAAAAGGGAATTGAGGTGGGACCGGGTGATGATGGCTCCCTCTCTAATCCTATGTATGTACAAGGAGAAAAACTTACCAGAAGTGGTGGCTGCTTGGGTTTCTCCTCTAGAATAGAGCCCTTCTCAGCAGGAAGTAACAGCTGCACAAGTGTACTGGCTGGGTCAGGGGATGGCAACTGGGAACTCTACCAAGGTGTCCCCATTACCGTCACTAGAGGGCGCTATTATGTTGTCAGGATGTGTTTAGGACACTATATCACAAAAACTCCACAAGGCATCACAAAAAAAAAAAAAAAAAAAATCACAAAAAGCTCCACAAGGAGCTGGGTTAGAAAAACACGAAGAAAAAGAATATAATGCTTCATTCCAAGCCCTTCGTGTTTTGAGACTGAGTTAGGGCATGAGGACCACTTGTGACTATCTGCTTGCTATTAAGGCAACCTTTATAAATCTTTTCAGCGTCTTGGTTATTAGAGTCCCTAACAGATTCTCAATTTGGACTTCTTTTTTCCCTCCTCTTCTCCATGCACATGACATAAAAGTAATGCCACATCGCCTAAAGATATAAATATGTGTAGCAATTGTGAGGTCATTTTGTTTGGCTTTTCCCCAAACTGGAGGACATACAAAAGGGAGCATGATATTAAAGGGGTACTTTTCTTCATAAGCGAGGGCTTTACTTTTAGTGTATCTGTCCTCAGTACCAAGAATAAGTGGACCCATTTCTCAAATGTCAACAGCATCTTAGAGAACATTTATTTCAACTCCACCAGTTGACAGATGAGAAAACTGAGGCCCAGAGAAGAGTAGAAACATTCAGAGCAAAACACCTGCTTTCTAATTTCCACGGTTCACTCAACCTCAGCATCTGGTCCTCCAGCCTTAAAAAAAAATAGATAACCTTATTTCTCAAAATTTAGCCCCTTTCTGCCAAAGGAAAGAAAGAAAGAGAGAGGGAGAGAGAGAGAGAGAGAGAGAGAGAGAGAGAGAGAGAGAGAGAGAGAGAGAGAGAAAGAAAGAAAGAAAGAAAGAAAGAAAGAAAGAAAGAAAGAAAAGGGTAAGAAAAAAAAAATGGAAAAATTCTAGCCTGTCCCCCCATGTGGGTTCCAGAACTGTCACACTCCATCTAGGGACCATGCTTCCCTGCTTTCACATCTTTGGAATGATTGCCTGTCCCCACCAAGCAATTGTTAATTTCTTTTCAACCTTCAAGGTCCACTTTCTGCCATTTTGCTTTTCAACCCAAGAAGACCCAGTTGTGGTTGCAGTTTTGCCCTGTGGCTGCATCCCTTGGGTGCAGCACACATTGCTCCAATTTACAGATAAATCATCGACTGTGCAAATCAGACACGGATCTATTGCATTGGTTAACAGTTCTAATTAAACTCCCAGTTAGGCTGTGGGTGTTAATGACTCAAGTTATCACCGTGTATGTAAATGCAAATGCCTTCCTTCTTCAGGAGAGCAGGAAGAAGAGATGCATTTCTGGTAGGAAATGGAAACAGATGCCAGACCCAGAGGCTCATTTGGTTTTCCAGTTTCCCTAAATCAGATTTTTAAACGCAGGGTTGTCAGTCCCAGGCTTAGGCTTCATACTTGAAATGGAGGACTTTGGTTTTGCGCCTCCAGCATGCCTTTTCTCGCCCCCTGCTGGAGAAGCTCCGTAGTGCCGAGTTTGCCTGTTAGTACACCTTGTCCCTGCAGAGGGAACTGCCTAGTACCTGGCAGGTGTGTGTGTGTGTGTGTGTGTGTGTGTAGGAGAGGGTGCAGCTGAAGCTTAAAATGTACTACAGATGTCTACACAGCTGCACTTAACAACTGAGGTAGAGGTTTTCTGCAGTTCTCTGTGTACACAGGGTTCCAATGGGAAGATTTTTTTTTAAACAGGCACCTCAAATCTAGCTCTAACTCAACCATATAAAAACAGACTCTTGTCTTGGCCAGATTCATATCATCCTCAATTCCTTTTGGGGACCTGGTACCCAAGTCCACTATCCTTACCCAGGAGGAAAGAGCTGGTTGTTGAGGTGGCTGCTCATCAAGTTTCTTCTGGTTTTCTTGGCCAAAGCTACTGGCCCTTGAAGATGGGTTATGTAAGTGGAAAAGGGATTGAACTCTTACTAAATTCCCCCACTTCTTGGCTGAGCCATCTATTTGTCAACTACAAAAACTTTTCAGTCTCACCAGAGAAACTAGCCTTTGGGTTCCTGGTAAGACAATGGCTTTTCTTCTTGTATATCTCTATGAGTTTGCTCCTGTCTTCCCCATTTGATCCTGTTCTCTCTATCTGACCTTTGCTTACTCCATCGAATCTAGAGGTGGGATTGTTTTTGGCCATAATCACCTTAAACCCCATACCATGGTAGCAAAGACTCTGCTGGCGTTCTCACAGTTAGTCCTCATTTCCCTTACTTGTCATATCCACTACCCAGTATTCTCTGAGACTTCAGCAGACTTGTTGGTTCTACAAACTAGTTTCACATCTGATCAGAACCTGAGAAGGTTGGCTACTCAGTCAGAATGTCTATAGGGTAGTGTGGCCACTTGCCTGTATCCCTTGCACATCACATGTGAGCCTCCTTTTCCTGTTTTGTTTCTTCGACAAGGCCCGTTTTTCTGTATGGAGGCTTGAAGGATTGACTCGATGTCCCAAGGCCTCTCAGGACTCAGGTTTCTCTGCTGTCAGCTTGAACCCCCCAACATGTCACCCATTATGTCCTCATTTTCTATCTTGCATAAAGATGGATGGGTATCCAGAAACACAGACTCATGTGGCTCCCTCACCAAACCCAGGCCTATTAATCATCCATTACACTATTAAGTTTCTTTGCCCAAAGGTGCCCTGGATTGGGAGCCTCAAGTGCCAAATCACAGGTCCTGCCCAATTCTAATTTTGCAAATGGCTCTGTGAAACCACACTGACCTTTATACCTCGCTCATCCCAGAACAGGGCCACAGTGTTGTCACCAACAGGAGTGGACTTCCTTCTGTTCCAACACCTCAGCCACACAGTAGGCATGGATTTGAGTCTGCAAAACCACGGAGGAAGCAAGACTAACATGGCCAAAGGCTTCCTTGCTGAAAGCCATTTTTAAAAAACAGCACTGCAACCACCCCTGTCATGCTTCCCAAAGCCAAGCCACTCACCGGTCTCTCCTTTGCTTCTACAGACCACAGCCCAGAACCCACAAGTCCAAAATATGTAACTAGATTCTGGAAAGTGGGACCAAAACAAACAAACAAAAACCAAAAATACCAAATAGGGCCTCTGCTCCCTCCTTGCTGGAACCATCATTCCACCAATCTCCCCACCCCTCAAGCACCACCTAAGAAAAGAAAACCTGCAACAGCCAGAATCTAAAATGTTCAGTTAGCCCCTGAAGTGCAGCAGTAATCTTGCCAGTGCCAGTTCAGAAACTGAAAGCAATGCCTCCTGCAAGCTGAGGGGGACAGAGATGGAGGGATACAGTAGACCCAATGACCCCACTCCCCAGACAAAGACAGGGCCAACAGTGAGACTCTGGGCTTTCTAGTGACCTTATTGCATCATTCTAATCCACACAGGAAAAAAAAGAGTCCAGTTGTGATTACCATTCCCCTACTGAAATAGGGGCGGGGGATAATAAAAAAATTTGCGGGTGGGGGAGAGAGGCGCTGGTCTAACAAAATCGTCACTTTTTCTGTTTGCTCCGGAGATCTGCCCTGGACTTGGCCAAATCGCGGCCACACCTCCTCTCCTTTTCTGAGGGGCTGCTGTCACTAGTACTGTGGCTGGAGGGGAGGGGGTGCCGGAAGGTAATGAAAGATTTACAGGCTGACACAGCTTTCAGGGTGGATTTTGCCTCAAGCGGCCCGGGCTCCAGTAAGCAAGTACCAGGCTTGGCCAAGGGAAAGAGTCTGGGCCCTCTAGGGATGGCCGAGACACACCCACTTGTCCGCGTTTGTGAACCGGGATCCAGCAAACTGCATGCTGGGCTTCAGGGGTCGGGGAGAGCCACGTAGGAGGCTCATTGCTGGGGCGCCGCAGAAATGGGAGGGGGACCCGGAGAGACAGAACATCTGCTCAGCAGCCTCAAAGCACCGCCACCCTCTCCCCCGAGCTAGCCCGGGTGCCCCTCGTCGCGGGATTTACCTGCGTGGGGTCCAGCCACCCCGTCAAGACCTTTCCTCTACCTCCAAGCGCTCTGGCTGGCGGGGCTGGGGAGCCGCAGCCCCGCGGCCGCAGCCGCAGCCCCGGGCCCAGCCTGCTCCTCTTGGCTCTTCACCCGCCCCAGTGCACAGGCTCCCGGAGGGGTTAAGCTGCAGCCCCCAGCGCAAGATCCCAGCTGGTTCACCTCCACAGCTGCCCGCCTGCGATAGAGCCCCTGCTCAGCAACCGCTCCCCAGCCCTTCTCTTCTATGACGTCACCCGGGCTCTGCACCGCACCTAGGCCAATCAATGGTGAGCATAAAACTAAAATCGCCCTGAGTGGGCTACTGGGGACCAATCTTTTGTTTCCAGGCAGGAAGCGCCCGGGAAAGTGGGGGGGCTGGGGGGAGGGAACAAGGAGAGGGAAAGGAAAAGGAGATGGGAAACTTCTACAGTCAGGGTTATCTAGAGGGAGGTGGGGCCATCGAGAAAGAGGCACCTGACTGGAGCGAGAGGAGGGGATATTTCGCGTGTTTTCTTTACTTGGCCATGTCAGAAGAATAGGCTTTCAGATGAATTTTTAAGAGAGGACATCTGATCAGCTACTCTTCATTAGGGGAAAATTATTTGGATTTGGGACACCACCTGTCATGCGAACAGGTTACGCAAAAAACTCAGAGGCACGCGTGGCAGATTCAAAGGGCTACCAATCAAGGCAAGGACATCCCTTTTTTACACATGAAACATACTTCAAAACACGGCATTATACATAAAAAATAATTCTTTTACTTTAAATTGTGTGTATTGTGCAAATGTAATTTCATTAAAATGCCCATCCTTTCTCTGAAATATTCAGTGGTTTCTCTTGTCTTAAAGGTAAGTATCAATTTTTTGCAGATATCTGAAGCATTGTAAAATCTAACCCCAAAAATCATCCCTTTGAACTCCAAAACCCGTTCTCCTCGGGATTTGGCTAGGTTATGTAAATTATGAGAAATCTCAGCAAGGAAACCGTAAGCTAGCATTTGAAAAGTGTAAGACAAAGTAATAAGTACACTCAAAAAATGTGTGGTATAAAATATGCCAATAAAGCAATCAGAAGAGACCTTAAAATTATGATTGGGTAAAAAATGATAGAATTAAGAGTGATTTTTCTTGTCTACTTTCTAAAGATAAATACATACTCTGATACTTGAATGGTCCTGTTGGGTCATGACACTTTCATTCCATTTTTTTTTTCAATACTGCACAATACTCAGCAATCATTTCTCCGTAATATCAACAAAAATAAGTTTCCACACCAAGAATAAACTTAAGACATCTCTCCATGTACTTTTAGGAAAAGTCACACTACAGATCTTCAAATTCCAAAACTGGTAAGTTTTCAGGCAGTTGGAGAATGGACTATCTCTTTTGGAGTAATTGGTTTTCAATTGTGATAATACAGGGAACTGAGAACAATGACCAAATCTATGAAAAAAAATATAGGAAAGAGGGAGGCTTATATAATCCAGACAGGTTTTAATAATCACTGTGCATTTTATTTTTCTTAATTCAAGTCTGTATTTATGCAAACGTATTACACGTACATTGTAGAAAGAATTTAGAGCTGGAATTTGTATCTAAACTGAGTCCAGTGTCCAGACTCTTTCTAATCATTACAGTGTGTTCCTAATAAAAGTTAAACATGCTATTATGGACTTCATTAACTACATACTTGATTTTTATAAACACACTACACAAAATCTAAGTTTTTAAAATTCAAGCATTTAAAAACAGCTTTTTGTTTGTAGTAGTTGCCTTCTCATGCAAATATTCCCAAGATTTTTTCCTCTTGTATCCTTGAATAATAGGTTGAAAGTGGCATGGTTCTGCTTCAAATGATTTTACAGATACCATTTGAATTGACTATGGGTAAAAAAGTAACCACATCACACTGATTTTTCTTACATTGTAAAAATAACCTAAGGAATATTACTTATATAAATGGATGCCATACGCTTAACGTTAGTATCTTTGATTCATATATTGTTTTAAGGACCAGGAATTGAACTCAATTGAACTCTCTCACACTTGCCAGACAGGTGCAGAGCCACTGAGGTATATCCCCAATCCAATATCTCTTCTTTGTAAAAATTAATTTGAGCTATTTTAAACAGGAACTTTTTTTAAGAAAGAGGAAAATATAACTGGATTTTCCTGGCTAATGATTAAGTTTTGGTCTTCCAGGCTATTGATTTAAATTGCAATTAAAAAAGATATTTGATTTCATCTAATCCTCCTATATACCTCAGCTATAACACAGTCACTGCACATGGTTATTTAAATTTTTCATGAGCATATTTTTTCTCTCCCTGGTGAGTATAGAAACTAGCATGGGACCAAAAGCTTATAAAGTGCTTCACAAATTGAAGCATAGTGATGTCATCCAAAGAGGACTGGATTTAGTACTCAAACTCAACACGAAAGACTCAAATCTTCCTATAAACTGGTGGCAATCTACATTATCCTTGATATCAGAAAGTAGTCTTTACCGCCAATGAGATTTTGCCTCCAAGAATACAGGACAATTGGGAACTTCCAGGGAAGGGATTTAAAGCTCAAATAGCTTAAAGATTTAATCTGTGTAATTTTCTCACTCAATTGCCCCCATCCCCTGCTCCCTTGCTTGGGAACTTCTTGATTTAAGGAGACAATACTACCTTAATAACCAGTGGACATGTATACTCTTTTTCTCAGATTACAAACCACTTTTGTGTCTCCTCATTTAATCCATATGACAACCATACTTTAGCAATTATTTTGATCTACATATCATAGATGAAATAACAGATACCTGGAGATTTGAAGTCACCTGGGCAATGGCTCACAGACAAAGTCCTAGAAACCAAGTTTCATAAGCTCATTCTTGTGTTCATTCTACCATTACACAACATCTTGAGGGTATGTATGTGGAATCGGAGGCATTAAGTGTTTTCTTTACATGCAGATGGCTTCTGATTTACAATAGAGCAACTTGCAATATTTCAAATTCACAATGGTGTAAAAGGGCGTGCATTCAATAGAGACTGAACTTTGGTGTTTTAATTTGTGTTTATCCTTTGAGTCCCATCAATGCAATTAGTCCCTTGATTCATAGAAGATATGAGGATCTCTAGCATGAGGAATGTAGCAACATAAGGAAACCAGTGAATCTCTTCAAACTGTTTCCATTAAATCTTGAATAAAGGGAACATTGCTCATTGTCATATACCATAAATGGGGGTGTAAAATAGCATAACTTTTTTGGAGGACAATAAGTAATGGTCATGAAATCTTAATATGTGTATGATACTTGACCTAGCAATTCAAACTCAAGGAGTTTGCCTATAGCTGTCCTACTAGCAACATACAGAGATATGTTCACATAAGCCCTATCTTGATTACTTTTCTCTCCTTGCTGAGACAAAACACCTGACCCCCAAAATTTGGGAAGGAGAGGCTTATTTACCTCACACTTTGTAGAGATTTCAGTCCATAATCAATTGGCTAGAAGGCAGGTTGGCATGGCACCAGGGCAATACTTCAAGGTGGTAGAAGATAACAAAGCAATAAGGGCAAAAACAGGGGGAAGAGCAAGCCTCTTTTCCTTCTTTATACCATACACAAGCCACCACTACCCCTTCTAGGATCATTGTAGCAATCAGAAAAATCCTTTGTTCTCCTCTTACACAGGAAGATGTTACAAATTAAGGAACCTGGCTCCCTGCTGAATCACTTAGTTAAACTTCTGACATTCTGAAATTGATACAATGAACAATATCCTAGAGCAGTAAGGGCTTATCCTCTATGCCCCAGGATACAGAGCTGCTGAGTCACTTAGTTTGCTGGACTTCTCAAATTGATACAATGTATCAAACATAACAAGCCCATTGCTGAGTCTTATGGAAGTATGAAACAATGTCCTTCCATAGCAACTGTTAGATTTTTACACTATTTTATTAAAGTCTGACTGCTTTCTAAAAAGCTACATATATTTAATATATACAACTCTGACTTTCTGAATAGTATATACAATCCCATGATTTTAAGGACTTGGGAAATTATCAATATCATCAAGGTCATAAATATGTCTGTCACCTCCAAAATTCCCTCCTGCCCAATAAGAAAATTGCCAAATAAATTATGATCTAGGCATATTTTGGAATATGGTATATCATCTAAAAAGAATCAAGAAGATCCCTATATATTTAAATAGAAACATGCCATAATATATTCCTGAATGAAAAAAAATTGCAGGGTGTTATGTGTGCTATGATTTTATTTTGTTTTTTTAAACTTGTGTGTGTGTTTATATACCACACAATTGTACTGTGCTATGAATTATGTGATTAGTGTGAATTATATACACCAAATTGCTAATAGGGTAACTGCAGGAATAAAAGAGAGGAAGCAAGACATAAAGTACGTGTGTGGGGTAAGGATATTAACTATTTCCTTTATATGGAGGTGGTTTCCAATTTACATTGGTGCAACTTAGATTTTCCACTTATGATGATGCAAAAAATACATATTCAGTAGAACTCATACTTTGAATTTTGAATTTGGATCTTTTCCCAGGCTAGTGATATATAGTACAACACACTCCTGAAATTCTGGGCAGTGGCAGCAGGCTGCAGCTTCCGGTCACCACTTGATCACAAGGAGAAACAGTCCAAGTGCTACAGCCTACTGTGTTCTTAAGCTAGGATAATGAGTAGGTTAAGTGTATTCAGTACATTTTCAACGTAGGATGTTTTCAATTTATGTTGGATTTACTAAGGTATAGCCCCATTAAAAGTGGAGGAGCATCTGTATTTCTGTTTATATTGTTCATATGTTTTTTTTTCAAATGAGCGTGTACTATGTTTTGCTTGTAAACACAACATTGAAAAGAAAAAAAAATATAGCTTTCTTTGGGTTGAAATAAAAACAAACAGATAAACAAAGCACTCTGGCTCTCCTGAAAGAGACCTCAATGCCAGGCCAGTGGTTCAGATCGAGGAATCAATATTACGACACACTGAGCTGAGCCAGACATGATTAAGCAGTGGACACAAAGCAATAATGGTCAATCCAATGGGCATCAGCACCCAGAAATTCTTACTTTCCTTTCCCCACCTTAATTCCCACAGTCAGAAATTAATTTTAGTAGCAGACTTGTAGTTTGTGCAGCTCTCAGTCTGTACATCTTTCACTAGTGATGCACTTTTAAAAAGCACTGCCACACACATCCTGCTCCATTTGCTCTGAATGGAAAGG